ATATAGATATAGATATATCAAGAAAAGAGTTGTCTTGTGTTGCAGTGAAATGTGTGTGAATGAGTGAGTAAAGTCCGAAAGGGACATGAAGGGAGAGCCAATGCAATAGATAAACTGCTACATTATTTAGTTAATGGTGTTTCAGCTGTAATACGATCATCCTCAAATGTCAGAACCACAGGAGGAAAGTGGCCAGGAGAATGTGGTGCGCCTGTGGGAACTACTGGTCAGAACTTTCAAATGTCTTAAACTATGATAACTATCCATCCATCCATTTTCCGTTCTTGAGGGGTGCTGGTGCTTCCAGCCACCAATTAGCGAGAGGCAGGGTACAACCTGGAAAGGTCGCAAGACTATCGCATGACAACAAAGATACAAACAGAACAAACAACACTTCACACACACACTCACACCTTAAAGGCTGGTTATACTCAATAGCAAGTATTAACCTTATCCTGAATTATACGTAATGTTTATTATTTTTTTTATTCATTAGAATGTCTGCTGTTTATTTGATAAGTAGCTTTTAAATTTAAATAGGTAAAAATGTGCATAATACCTTTTTTAAGATTACAACTATCAAATTGCAAATCTGAAATAAATGAAAAAAAAGTCAAATCTAAATTGGTTGAATAGGCTTGGTTGACTTTTTTCTTTCTTTTGTATTTGAATGTGAATTGTATAGTTACTTGCTTTATCTTTGCTTCTACAGTATTTTCCTTCCGTTTTATTTTTTACTTCATGTAAAACAGTTTGAATTGTGTTTGTAGTGATGTGTTATATAAATAAACATGCCTTGCCCAGATTAGATCTAGTCAATAGTGCATTCTGAATTTTACATCTTGTGTTTTTGCTATACTTTCATTCTATTTTTTGCACTGAAACCTCTCATTTTTCACTGTAGCTCAGATACGATTTTGGAAGAAAAGCTTATATTGTAAGAGTCGATGCACTTTGGAAACTTTTACAGCCTTAATGTTTTTGCAACCTAAAACCAATAAAGATTTTCACTTAAAATATTCTCTTCATTGACTTTCTTTTTCTAATTGAGGCATTTATTCACTACCTTTTATAGATGAGTTTAGTTTATTTTTTAATTATCACATATCATCTCCAGGACCATTAAGAACTCATGTTAAAAGATATACCTGAAATCCAAACAATTATAGAATGGGTAAAAGATAGTTTTTTGTTGTTTTTTTTGGTAAATGCTTTACAGCAGAAATATAAATGAAATATGTTTTTTTCACCAGAATATTTACAAATTACTGTGCAATCTAAATTGTTATTAGATAAGAAAATCTTAATTATGTAAATTAGAAAAGTAAAGTTAAATCCTAGAGTAAACTCCGAATGATTCGTTATTTTTTTTTTTTTATAGTACATCCCACTAGACTCCCACTCATTTGTATCTGTTGCCAAGTGATGTGTATCATAAGGATTTAAAAAGCACAGTGAATCTGAGAGAATCACACCATAAAGCAACCCCTCCCCACACCAAACGCCTCCTCGTTCCTTGCACAGCTGTTCATCGGTAGCTAAATAGTCTGTTACCATTACCTGTGGATGCCTTTTGAATGCATATCGGCTGCAAACTTAAAATAAAATGTTGTTTTAAAAGGAGTCATTATTTTATTCTGGTCTCTCAATGTCAACGTTTGGTGACATAGGAAAGAGTTGCAAAAGAATCAGCACTATTATAAAAGTCAGATAAAGTATAATCACAGCATTAGGTAAATCCTTGGTTAGGATTATCACAATACACCATCATGAATCGGCCGCATCCTCAGTTTCTGCTCTTTATTATGTTATTGAATTATTTCATTTAGGGGGAATTTGACCTCCTCATTTGATTCTTTCTAAGGGTCTATCTATCTATCTATCTATCTATCTATCTATCTATCTATCTATCTATCTATCTATCTATCTATCTATCTA